AGTTCATCCAGCCAATGCTTAACTAGCTCTCTTTTCTGCTCAACAAAGCTTTGTGGTCTCTATTCCACAGAGAGCTTTCCTTGGAAAGCTCCATTTCCTCCCTCCCTGAGCGAAATCCTCTTCATTTTGTTATGTGCTTAAACTATGACACTTCATACAATTAAAGTTAATAACCCTAATTTTTTTTACAATCAGATCTGATTTGGCATATTTGGGAAAATAATTTCCTGTTATATCTGTTTCTCTCTTTTTTCTTTTCTAGGAACTTTTATGGACTTTACAGACCCTGTGCATTTTTACAAAGATGCTCCCTACATACTGCCACCCCAACCCACCTACACAAACCCCAAAACTTTAGAGTTAAAATTATATACTATGAGCAAAGTTTGCTCAGTTACCTTTTAGGTCCTCCTGCTTGTCATTAAGTTGTTCAAGAGAACAAATCATTCTTTTTTGAAAGGCATAAAAATGAAAACAAGGAAGAGAGTCTTTTCCCTCTTCTTGCAGTTTTCTGAAGCAGGGAATTAGAACCGAATGGCCCTGATCAAGATATCTTGGGGGTGATTATTCAGATTTTGAACGCAAGGCCATCTCCCTTGCTTTTTCATTCCTCTGCCTTTGTTTCCAGAGCTTGAGGATATTTCATTGCTAAAACCACCACCCTGTAATGTGCAGCAGAAGAGAAAATTAATCAATCTAGTTCACTTTTAAAATGTAAGCAGCTGTTTTGTTCTGACAGGGGAGAATAAACAGGTTGAAATTCTCAGTGAATCCAAACAGGAACAACACATCTAAAAGTGACTGGCACAGGGGTTACACATAGCAGGAATTTAATAAGTGGGCTTTTGTAACCCTCACAGCAGTGTTCTACCACCCCTGAATACAGGCTCTTAGCCAGAGGAGATTTTGTACCCAAGCCTTCCTCCCCAAGGGGCTTTTGGCAATGCCTTAAAAGACATTTTTGATTGTCGTGACTTGGGGGTGATGTTAGTGACCCTTGGTAGAAGCTAGGGTTGTTGCTTAACTTGCAATGCATAGGGGAGTCCCCCACAACAAAGTATTACTGGCCCAAAATACCAATAGTGCTGACTTTAGATGAATGAGCACATGCAATGTCTATTTTCAGTGTGAAAAGTAAGTTAAGTAATACTGTTGATCTTACTTTGACTATATTTAAAAGTATTTGTTTGGGCTTCCTTGGTGGTGTAGGGTAGGAATTAGGTGTCAGTCCTGTCACACTCCTACCATTGCGGCCTGAGTTCAAGTCCCAGCCAGGGCGGTGACATGGCGCAGCAGACCTCTCCACTTCCCTCAGCAGTGTATTTCATTAACTCCACCTGTTCTCTACACTGTCTCTAGTGAATCTTCTCATGCTCTGGTGCTCATATCTCTGGCCTTCACTGCAGTTCTTCTATGCATAAGTAAATAAACAAATCTTTAAAAAATTAAATTATTTGTTTGCAAACACATTTACATAGTGTGTACTCACTGTACTCACTGCCTATGGTGTTTCCAAAGTTAATCTAGGTGAATTGCCTCAAGAATAAAAACTCTATCCAGACAAAAGAGTTCAAGTATCACTAGTATCTAAGAACCAGAAGTTTGTACACTGGAACAAATTGATTTACACAAATTTTGTTTGCCCCTAACATTTAAGAAATTTTTATAAAATCAGAAACACCTATCAAGAAGTTATCATTTTGTCATCTTCTCCCCTGTCAAATAAATAGTAATGTACATTCATGTTGCCTAAGAATTTGTTTTCCGTCTTTAGAAGTATTCCATTTGCTTTGAAATACTGCCTAAAATGACACTCTTTTGGGAAAAGATCTAGAAATAAACAAGAGGTTAATGGCTAATCTCCCTCCACCCCCAAGAATTTAGACCAGAATTCTTGTCATTTTTCTTCTTTTTTTAAGGTTTATTTTTATTTGTGCAAACAGAACTGGGGTACAGGCCAGAGGTACAAGGGCAGTGAGAGGATCCACCAGAGACAGAGTGGGGGTCAGAACAGGCAGATAGTGGAAGTACACTGCTGAGGGGAGCAGCGGGCGGGTCAGGAGAGGTCTGCTGCACCATGAGTCATCTCTGGGGCAGGCGGGGATCGAACTCATGCAGAAGTGGCCTCAACTTCTTAGTGCTGTGCTCCAACCTGCTGTGCCACCAGGGAGGGCCTTTTCATTATTCTTAACTGGACCAACAGACAGAGATCTTAAGAACAGACCAACCTTTCCTTTGCCCTGTGTCAGTCAGGTCCAGTCATCAACTTGGCCATCACAACTGCCCTAAAATAACCTTTTTACCTTAAGTAGTCCTCACCATGTAAGATAGCAGCACAAGATGGGCTACAGAAATCCAGTGTGGTGACCAAATAAGCAGCTTTTTTCATGTTTCTGTTATGTGTTGGAATGTCCAGAGATAGCTTCCAAATAGATTTGAGATTTCAAGCTCTAGTTTGAGTATAGTCTGTGACTGATTGACTTGTGAGTCTTTTTAGCAGACAGAATGGCAAGTGGTCTAGTTAGTTACTCTAAGTCTGGAAGAGTTCAAAGATGGGAGCAATCGGGTGCCCTGATACTGTTCAGAATTTCAAAACAGTTTACTACTTGTTTGGAATGCCACCCTTCCCAAATCCAGAACATGCCATTGAATTGATCTTTCTGCAATAGAAACTGTTCTCCAGATAGAACCATTCTTCAATAGAACTTTCTGCAATGTGGGAAATCTGCTGTGTCCAGTTCAATTGGCCACTAGCTATATGTGGCTATAGGGCACTAGAAATGTGATCAGTGTGACTAAATACATGACTTCTTAATTTCACTTAATTTTAACCTTTTTTTTTTAATAGCTGGAGAACTTTTATTATTTAATTTTGATCTAAGTAGCCAGGTATTCCAGTGGCTCCCAGGATAAATAACGCTAATATAGGAAATACTTATTATTCCATATCTTAATGATAGATTCCCTGGTTCCTTTTCTTTTACTTTAAATTAGAACTATAATAAGATTATGGAATATTTAGAAAAAAAGGGAAATTCTATTTAATGCCATTACTTTCATGAGCTTAACATAATTATAAACTATGCAGATTTTCAAGGTTTTTTCCTGTGTGTTTTAGAGAAGTTGAATACAAATTTATCTGACTTTGCCTATTATAAGGGATTTTTTCACTTAATATGAGAGAAATAATTTTCTTTAGTACTAAATAATATTCACAAACGATCAGAGCTAATTATTGCCTATTTCTTAGATCATGGTACCATAGTTTACTTCCTCTATTTTTGAAATTTTGTATCATTTTGTTTGGCTGCTTTTGTTTGGTGTTATGGTCACTATAAAATAATGCTGTAGTAAACATATGAAAGCACATTATTATTTCTTCTTTTAGAGTACATTTACATGCCAAATTTTTGTCTTAGTCAAGTAACAATTTACATGATGAATCACTTCACTACCACAGATTCATTTTGAAAATGTACTTTTTTCACTTTTCATGTGAAATATAGACTTTAAAACTGCCGAAAGGAAAGCAAGCCAAAACTTTTTTCTCTGCAGCACAATTAATGCAATAAATTATGAGACAGATTACTATCCTTTTCCATCTAACAGTAAAAGTTGCTGATAAAATGTAACTGCATTCAGGACTAGTGGCATAGACCTTTGATTTGCAAATGAGCAGTAAATTTCCAGGCATAAATATTCCAAATAAAATATTTTACATAGTCAGATAATCTTAAAAAATGAGAAAAATTAACAAAAAAATTTAAATCCCATTTTATTTTGTCCTCTGTAAATTCAGTTATATAACATTACATATCTGTACTACCTTTTGTATAATTTAAAGTAATATCAACCCAGTTTGAGTAAACTTTCACAAATCTTACAATTAGTAACTTTCTGAATATCTTGGTTTAAGACATTTTATATTTTTCATACTGATTAGATGTCATGTTACTTTAAATTTTCTTTTAGAATAAAATCTATATTCAGATGGTTCTGACCTGCAAAAAGCAAAGAGATCTTAGTTAAAACACAGATGAATTGAAGCATAACATACTAAAGAGGAGAATGTACAAAAATCAAATGTTTCTTAATGTTTTTTATAAGTTGGATTTTAGTCTCTGTTACCTCTCTGTTTTTGAGTTATTTTTGTGTTTAACAGATTGACCAGGGACTGAGTGACCTTGTGCTAATTAAACATTAGGTTATAAAGGTATAACTGTACTTTGGGCCAGAAAGTACAGTGAAAATTTAATGTAACTGTCTTGAAAATTTCTCTTTGCTCATTCTATATATGAAAAGTGGTCTTTAAAATGGGCCTAATAGAAAGAAATACAAGACTTTTTCCCTCTCCCTCTCTGGCACAATGAGTTTAATAATTTATGCTATGAATTTGTTTTTCTTTCACATACAATAGTAAAAATGTTTGGCCTGATAAAATAACTGTGTTTAGGGATTTTATTAGCAGTACCTTCCGGGGACATAGATCTTTTCTTTGGAAATGGAACATAAGTCTCCAGATGGCAAATCACTGGGTCTTTGTTCACAATGTGAATGAAGCACTTTGCCAGAAAGTCATTTCCAAAAGAAAAAAAAATCAATAGTGTTTGTACTGGAAATGTTTGTAAAAATGCTTGGAATACCATCAACTCTGTATGCACTTTGTGAATTATCTGGAGGAAAATATTGAAAACCTAATGGGTTTTTCTCAGCCAACCATTTAACCTCTTACTTTCCTCTCCAATTTTTGAAAAATGCAAACTAATTCCAGCATTAGTATACATCATACATCATTATGAGTTTTAAAAACCATAGGAATATTTCCAGGGACATATATAAATGGTAACCATTATTCATGCCTGTGTATTGTTATTTCATATGGATGGATAGTGAAGAGGTGTCTGTAGTTTGTTTATAGCAAGCCTGTTGTAAACTTAAGATTGGAATAGTTTCTGATGTTCAGATGGCAGAATTCATAGCTATATTTTTCTGAATTGCAGGTGGTTTTCATGAGCCTATGCAAAAGTTTTTGGGACTGTGGTCTTGTCGCCCTAGATGATATTACAATAGAATTGGGAAGCTGCTCATCTCCAGGTAAGACGGTCATCATTTCTGTTCTTTGTCTCTCTGGCATATAGGTGACATTTCCTGCTAATCTAAGAATATGCCATGGACATTTAATCTATGCTAGTCCATCATTTGCTTTTGTTTATTTGAAGTGGCTCTCAACAGAGCTGTGGAGTAGGCTTTGGAATTTAGAAATGATGACTGGAATATAATGTGTGACTTAGCACATGTGACTTGACCCCTGTGTCCTCATCTGCAAAAGAAGTAGTAATATCTGCTTGAATATTGGGGATAATACATATGAATGCCCCAGCATAGGGCCTGGTAAAAAACAATGCTTTAAAACAAATACTTCCTGATTGATAAGAATACTGAGTCACAGAAGAATACAGTAACTTGTTCCACACAAGTTTAGCTAAGCTATGTCTATAGAATATTTAGTTCTCTTGCATTCCACCCTTCCCCCAAGACAAAATTGGGTAGTTCTGTTATATGGTAATGAGAGGGACACCTCTGAAACCCCAAACCTGTCTGCTCTAAATAGTTTCTGTTATTCACTGCATCAAGAGAAAACATATAAGACCTTATTTAATGGAAAGGAACTTTAATACAAGTAGTATGCAAGTATAGAAGAAACAAAAATATAATTTCTAAATCAAACACCCAAAGTTACCCATCCCCTCACAGGTCAAAGTCTACCCAAAAATGATTGCCCCAAAGCAAGGCCTGAAAGCCAGGTACAAGTCTAAAGCACTTTCTGGCAGGGACCAATAGAAAAGGGTCCAAAAGGCCAGACAAGTCTGGGAGGAGAAGAGCAAAATCAAGATCAAGATAAACACTGCCATAGTCAACCTCCCCACGGGTCTCTCACCCACATCTGTTGGAACCAGTCCAGGACCAAGAAACAAGAGCCGCTTCATCACATGTCCCTCTGCTCCATGTGGCTCCCTCAGGTCTCCTTCTGGCTCCATTCTGCTTCCTTCCTCTTCAGTCTCCTCTCCAGATTATTCTTCTCCCTGTTCAGCTCCACCCACCTTTGAGTGGGATAGAGAACCTGGAACCTCCTCTTTTCCAGGGGACCACCCTGTTACAGTTCTAGGATTCTCTTGATACATTCTAAATTCCTAAAGAAAGTTCCTGCATTTTTCAATTTTATTACATTTCATATTTCCATAGAGGTAGTTTACCTCCAATTTTCATAACTTTGTAAGTTCATTCACATAAATTAAATTATAGATCAGAAAAAGTTTCTCAAGGTTTCCCACAACTTTTAGACTTCTCATTGTTCTTTGCCATTATGGCAAGCATCCAGACTCAAACTGCAGGCAAGAATGTAGTGGTGTAGGTGGGCTACTGATGTGGGGCTGGCTTGCAAATGTGTGGCATATGGGCAAACATTCATTCATGCAGAGTGGGCTGACAGTGGGCCCTGGAATACATATTCATTGAGAGTGCCTCAGCAATTGCAAAACCTGCTATTTCCTTGTAGAGCACCATCCACCTCCACCTGGAGAGTGTACTTTTGAACAAGATGAATGTACATTTACTCAAGAAAGAAGAAACCGCAGCAGCTGGCACAGAAGGAGGGGAGAAACTCCCACCTCCTACACAGGACCAAAGGGAGATCACACTACTGGGGTAGGTGAGTTATGCCACATGGTGTCTTTCTTAAGGAAAATTCCTAAAATAACATTCTGAAGGTCATTTGTGACATTTTGAAATGTGCAAATTTATGTCTATGACTAGAATTAATTAAAGTGATTCTACAGAAGGAATACTTCATTGTATGGATTTTAACCTCATTCTTTCTGTTCATTATACACTTGTATTGCTTGCTTCTAAAGCTAGATGGCCTTACCAAGATCAGCACGCAAAGGTAATTTAATTAGAAGTGGTTTAAAAATCAAAGTTAGGGACGAAAGCGGGGCAGGAGGAATGGTGATGTCAGGGGCAGAGCAAATGTACCGGAAGGCGGGGGAGGAGAGATGTGAGTTTGACTCCCAGTTTTCTAGCAATAGGATAAACCCACAAGAAGCATCCGTCAAGAGGTGTAGGCAATAGGGGCTGCATTTTTTGTAGAAAATGTTTAAACTAGAATAAAACAGACTGTCACCAAGTGTCAGCAATTGTACATAAGGGCAATGACCGAATATGCTTCACAGAATAACCTTGCGTTGTCTCACTCAATGTCACTTGGCAAACCAATTGTATATTGTATTTATGTGCACTTTTCTGGGGAGAAGGTTGATAGTTCGCAAAAACAGATCTGAGAAAAGATGCCCTTAATAGGGCTCTAGTGTGCTGAAGGACCAAGAAGTATTTGACTTCTTTGCAGGAAGGAATTCATGTATGAGTCAGTATGGGTGAGTTACAAAATGAAACTTTATCTTAAGTTAAAATGGCAGCTTTGGAATGGGGGGTAAAAAGGTACAACTGCCTAAGAGCAATTAGGCAGCGCTTAAAGGGGTTCTTCTTGTGTGTGTATTTTTAAATGTTTTTGTGTGTGTGTGTGTATTTTTTTTTAAGATTTTATTTATTGATGGATACAGAACTGGGGTACAGGCCAGAGGTGCAGGGATGGTGAGAGGATTCACCACACATGGAGCAGAACAGGCAGATAGACTAAGTACACTGCTGAGGGAAGCAGCAGGCAGGTCAGGTCTGCCGCGCTATATGGTCACCTCCGGGGCAGGCGGGGATCGAACTCATGTGGAAGTGGCTTTAGCTTCTTAGTGCTGTGCTTTAACCCGCTGCACCACCCGGGAGGGCCTTTTGTGTGTATTTTTAATATAAGAACTGGGGTGGAGACCAGAGTTGTGGGGGAGGTGGTAAGAGGATTCGCCAAAGACAAAGAGGGGGGCAAAACAGGCAGGTCTACTGAAATACCCTGCTGAGGGGAGCTGGAGGGCAGAGGGGAGTGAAACAGGAGAGGTATGTGGTACCATGTGGGTCACCCCCTGGCCAAGGGATGGAACTTGTGCTTCAGTGGTTGCAAACAGCTTAAAGTTAATTCTAAAGAGGGAATAAAGTTGGTCAGTTTAATTCTGTTTATTCCTATATTTTCTTCATTAAACTTCCACTTCCCTTAAAGAAGAGTGTGATGTGTTAGACTAACACAGACATTTTCTGGGTAACAGGTCATGGAATGTCTTGAACATGGCAGGAAGGACAAAGCAAAGTAAATTTTCTGTGAGGAAAGAAGTCTCTGAAAAGGCAAGGCAGTCACCAGTCTTGATTATAACAAGCCATGAACTTTGAAGTCAAAGTTACCCATTCACTGTGCATGAAATCTTGAGGAAAAAAAAGTTACTTAAAATTTCTAAGTTTCAATTATGCCATACAGACAATGGGGATAATTTCTATAGTGTAACATAATATAGTTATTTACCTATCTGCCTACTTCAAAGAATGGTTGAATTTAAAAAGGAAGGGGCTTTTATTAGACTGCCTGGATTCAAGTCTCCATTCTACCTTTGCAGTTCTCTAAACTTCATTTTCCTTATCTATATATTAGGAATTATTATACCTATTCCATAGATTGTGGTGACATTAAGATGAAACAATATGTAAAACATACTTGACAAAGACCCAGCATATGATATTCAATAATTATTCATATGTTCATTCAACAAATATTTATGGAGTGACTACTGTATATTTAGATAGTAGGTCAAAACACATAAACAAAGCAGCCAAAATAATTATTTTCCCCCTTGGAACTTCTTTTTTTATAGGTAAAAAAAGGCAACACTATACTTAAGTGTAACTTATATAGCATGTAAAAGGTGATAATTGCTACAGAAAAAAAAAATAGAGTTGGAAGAGGGCTTGGCAATAGGGAGGGAGATGTGGCTAATCTAAATATCACAACAGGAATCCTTGAGAGAGTAACTAGAAAGTTAGCCAAGTGTATAATTGGGAAGAAGTGTTCCAAGAAGAGAGAACAAACAGTGCAAAGCACAAAAAGCATGTCCTAAGAACGCCAGGAAGGCTGGTTTAGCTAACCAGAGTGAGCTGGAAAGAATGTACAAGGAAATGAGATCAGAGAAATGATCATAGATCAGACCCTAAAGGATCTTGTCACCACTCAGAAGGACTTTGGATTTTACTTTAACCAAAATGAAAGGACACTGGAGAGTAAGAGCATAGGTGTTAAGTGATCTGACCTGGTTATCTAAAGAAATTTAGCAGGAGAAGTGAGGCAAGAATATTATTAGAGAGCATGGTAGGAGGATAATGTAAGTAATCCAAGAGACCTGTAATGATAAATTTATAATAATGGTAGATTTACCAGTGACTATGGATCAGACCTGTATAGTAGCAATGGCGGTAGTGAGTCATGGTCAGATTTTAGAAGTGGAACCAGCAGAATTTCTTGATAGACACAAATGGTTATGAGAGAAAAGGAGTCAAAGATTTCAGTCATTTTTTTTTAAAGATTTATTTATTTGTGCATACAGAACTGGGGTACAGGCCAGAGGCTCAAGGGCGGCGAGAGGCTTCACCAGAGACAGAGTGGGGAGTAGAACAGGCAGATTGACTAAGCACACTGCTGAGGGGAGCAGAGGGCGGGTCAGGAGAGGTTTGCCACGCCATGTGGTTACCTCCGGGGCAGGCGGGAATCAAACTCATGCGAAAGTGGCTTTAGCTTCTCGTGCTATGTTTTAACCCCCTGCGCCACCAGGGAGGGCGAGATTTCATTCATTTTATGGGTTGCAGTGGGGATATGCTTTCACTATATTGCCTTGGCACCTTTTCTAGTAACTGCAGAACTGGTCCTGGCAAGGGGCAGTAGGTAAAAAGGACAGGGACAGTAGGCATTGAAGGATCACCACCAGTGAGCTTCAGAAAGCCACGCTTCTTACTGTGCCATGGGTGCCACACTTGCATGGTGGGGTTCACAGTGGTTCCCTCTTCTAAGCCAACCTCTTTCTAAGTGTCTCATATGGTCACATATGATCAGCTTCTTCCTCTGGGCTATTTTTAAGCACTAGATAAAGTGCAGGGCACAAATTGTAGTTGATACGTCAGCAATCTGGGAGTTAATCTCTTCATTTCCAGCACAATTATTCTGGGGTGTGGGCTCCTGTTGTTAGCAGGTGCTTAAACTCTGGTTAATGCAAGTGTTCTTTTGTTACCTTGGGTTTTAGCCCTAGGGTGCTGGTGGCAGGATGTTGGAATGTCTCAGCCTCAGCTTTAGCTTCCAGTAGAGTTGCCTCTTCTAGGAGGAGACACAGGTGAACCAGCCTGTGTCTCCTCCTCAATTTAGGCTCCAGCTATTAATATATTGAGAGCCTCAGGCTGAAGCCAATGATCCTTGCTTTGCTCTTCTGCTCCAGTTCTCCAGCAGTGCACCCTCTGTCTTGGCTGCCAACCCTCTGCATCCCCTTATCTAGCTCAGGTCTCAACACTCGCCAGTGTTGGCATGTCCTCCTGAATGAGCAGCAGTGGGGCATGCTACATAGCAGCCCGCCCTTACTCTTGTGGATTGTGCTGCCTGGTATTACTGCATACGCACTTCTCTGACAGTTTTCCAACCCTTTTCTGCTGGACCATTGCTCCTAATCTGTGCTGTGGTCATCCCTTTTTCTTTCAGGGGTTTTGGCTTTGTTCTCCTGCAGTCTGGTTGTGAGTATTTGGAGGAGGCAAGCCTATTGTCTTCACTCTGCCACCGTATTCCCAGAATCTCAACTTCAGTATTTTCGATCTGAGCAGCCAGAGAAAAGGGTTGTCAACAACTGAATAGAAAAGATTCAGTAGGTAGGTTTGTGGAGTTAAGGACTCAGTTTTAAATAAGTTAGATTGGAGATATCTAATGAAAATGCAAGTGGAGAGGAGAGTCTGGAGTGCAGGTAAGATAGCTTAAGTGGAACTTTATTGGCATATGGAGGGCATTTAATAAAATTTTCAGTGGAGTACATGTAGACCCAGCTATCGACTGATGACTGGATCTTGGGTACATCAAAACAAGAGAATAGAAGGAAAGGAAGAAGACTAAAAAAAGTGACTACTAATTGAGGCAGCTTTCACAGAGCTTATCAGAAGTAGGGACTTAAAAATGTCCCTTCCCCTCCTCCTTCCTTGACTTTCTTATCATTGCTGGCAATCACTGCTACTGCTACCTTATCTCCCATGGCAGTCTACACAGAGTTGCTTAATCATTCTATATTTGCATCCATTTTATCTTCCCCACTGGATTGTAACTTCAAGGGCAGGTCTTTAGATTATGTATTAGCTTATTAGGCCCATCATAACAAAACACCACTGACAGTGTGACTGAAAGAACAGAATTTACTTTGTCATAGTTCTGGAGTATAAAAATAGAAGATCAAAGTAGTGATAGAGTTAGTTTTATTTTGTGTCCTCACACAGTCTTACCTTAGTTCATGTCCTGATTTCTACTTATGAAGACACCAGACATTATGAATTAGGGTCCAACCTCAAAAAAAAAAAAAAGTTGTAACTTAACCTATCTCTTTAAAGGCCCTATGTTCATATGTAGTCCCATTTTGGAGTACTAGGGCCAGCACTTCAAGGTATGAATTTTAGAAGGCCAAAATTGAACCCATGACAGAATCCCTCCCAAGTTAGTGCAGTATATTAAACACAGACGGAGCAGGGCAAACTTGTAATAAACAAAAT